CGTGTTTGCACACCGTTAGCTCGAGCGAGCGTCTTGTCATACGGCCTGGCATTGCACGTAAGCTTATTAACAAAGTGCAAAGTTACAGCGTAATTCGCTCCTAATCTATCCCACTGCTTCTTCGACCCGTCCTGTTGGTGTCACTTCCAGATAAGGGGGAACGGCTGCTGGTTCGCTGCGGAAACGAGCTAATGAGCACGGGGAAATGCAGTGCGCGTGAGAAATTTTCGCTTCTCGAATACAACAGTGTAGAGGAGAAGTTCGACCTGTCAGACTTCCCCTACGATATCGTATCCGGCGAAATCCGATTTCGTTTTCGGCTCATCGTCGTTCATTCCAGGGGAATCGAATGGGGATAGTATTGGAAGACGCTGATATCAAGTGAGAGCTAGGTGGCGGGGGCAGAATATTTCCGCGGTGATTTGTGGCAACGGTTCGCCGGCTGCTTCTTCGGATCGGGCTGGTCTGACGATTGGATTTTTCCAACGCTCCGAATCGCCCACGACCCGGTGAGTTCCCTCCGCTCGCATCCGTTTTTCGAACTAACGTCGGGATAGCTCCTGACTGATGTGAGTTCTTTATCAGTGGGCGCCGCCGGCAGCGAGAGACAGAATGAAGGATCGTTAAGGTTGTGTGCCGAGCGTTGCAGAATTCACTTGTTAGCAGCTCCCCGGCGGAGAATCCACTCCTGGCTCGGAGGAGAAAAATGTCCCTGGATTAAATTTCGGAATGTCGAAGTTGATTTCGGAGCTGATCGACCGTATCCGCCACTGCCTGCCCTCGGAGGCAAGCCAGCGCAGCCAGCTCGCAGAGAAGGGAAAAAGCGATCAGCTGTTACCTTCGTTTGTTTCATCCGAGCCAGGTTGTAGCTAGCCGGGGAGCCGGGGAGCCGGGCCGTTAGTCAGCTTCGGGAGGAGGCAGACGTGTTGGAATTACGCATCTAAAACTCGTTATCGATGAAGGCGTCGAAGCAGACTCCACTGATGATGGAGATCTCTGAAGAAGCCAAGTGGTCGCCTGCAGCACGGCGACTTGCCTCGGATGCCTGTTAGGCTATCGATTTCGCGGGAAGGCGCATCCCCAATGCCCCCTCCCCCCTCCCCGGACACAGAATCTCACAGACTCTCTAAAAGAATCTCGGATACACAGTCAAGGGGAATCGAGGATTCCTGCATTCTCGACCCCTTCCCACGCCGTACTGTCCGAAAATTGGAAAAATCGACGGATTGTTGCGGTCATCGGTATTCGACGAAAACGCGTCGATGGAATGTTCCAGGCTCAAGATCAGATCCATTCTCGTTTCACCGCCTGCGAGCCGGGACTCCGAGATCTATGGGGCTCCCGAGATCCAGAATCCGGTCCCGGGCGCAGGAGGTTGCTTTCGATTGGAGTCCGCTTGCTCACATGCAGACTGGGCTCGAAAGGCGATGTAGACCTCGAGGGCGACCGAAAAAGACGCGGCATGGAAAGAGGAAGCGAAATAGCACAGCGAGGGAAAGGAGGCAGAAAAGAACGCCCCGGAGCTCGACTGCCTTCCGATATAGAAGAGGTCGCCTAATGATGACATATAGTGCAAATTTCAATGAAGCCCTTCAAGTGATTTAGGTCCCCGGAGGCGGACGTTCTTCCAGTACGTTTAGGACGGCTACTCCGGTATCTTTTGAGGAGGATTGATAGCGGAGAGACACCCAGCGGAGAGCCCAGTCAGCCGAGGACCGAAGAGCGCTCACGCACACGCCAAGGTCGAACCTTCAACAATGTTCGGGCCGGGCGTCGGATAGGCAGTCTCAGCCTTTCCATCGGCACATCGGTAACTTATCTGCGAGCCCGGAAGGGCGTTATACCGTTATCAAAATCATTCCCCAGTCCAGGGCGTTTTTCGACAGCCGCTTTAATTAAGTCTTCTCAATTGACGGTGAATCCAGGAAACAACATCGCTGGCTTCTAAATGCTAGTGTCGGCTGTTTTGTTTCCCGGTTTGCAATGAGGAGCTTTATTAGATTATTATTCTCGCTTCGCGGGACCCCGTATCGCTGCACGAGACTCACAACGTTACAAGCTCGTTCTATTCTGTGAACAGCCTCGTTCTCGCATCCTCGTACCCGCCCACAGAAGGACCGAAGGGAGCGGAGGAAATGAGGCCCCATGCAAGTTCTTCACTTACCGCGGTGAGTGCGAGCACTGCCAACCTAAAAAATTGGCCGCGTTTTTGTGCTCGCCTACACCGGTGCAAACAGGGTATGAAGTTGAGCTCGCTTGAGGCTTACCCCCCGAGAGGCTTGATACCACTTGCTCGAAACTCCAGCCCGGCCGACGCTAAAAGCACACATGCCTCTCCCGGCCGTTCTCGAAACCTCGGGTGATCCCTTTCGCTTTCGTCCGGCAATCCGACCACCGACCCTTCTTCTTCAGGGGAAGTCGTCACCAAAATCGTTGGTTCCACTCGTTGCGAGCGCTGCCTTGCTCTTTTTCGGAGACCGCGAGCACCACAGTCGCATCCACTAGCGGCAGTCGCCCACGGTCCACTGTGTGCTCGGGGAACTCGGAGCGAGCCCCTCAATGCGTTGTATCTGAGCGAACGGCGGTTTGTCTCTGTTTTCTTTTTTCCACAGGACAGAGTTTCAACCAGCTCTCGGAAGGGGTTAGTCGCACCAGGCACTCGATGAGGGAGATCTTTTCAGGCTCTGTTCAGTGAGCCTGAGCTGGCAGCCTTATTACCGGCGAGTGCGTCGCCGGAGCCAATTTAGTCTCATCTTATGAGAGCGATAGGGGGCGGAAAGGTTAATGGCGGCGACGGCGACCTACGCTGTAACGCTTCCAAAGAGAGTCAGTGCCTTCGAGGGGTTCGCTCCGGAATACCGACGGAGGGAAACAAGAGGGAAGTTAACAGCGGTGAGCACCGATCGAGACAACGACGGAGCGCCGGAAGAGCTAAATATTTCCCGAGGAAACTCCGATAGTACCGCTGTTGAAGGGGATCCTACTGCTGCCGCTTCATAACGGCACAGCTGTGCCTGAGGACAGACAGGTAGCTACGACGTCGTCGCCGGTGGCTTGCTCGTTTCTTCGCTCGCTCGCTCGCGAGAAACGTGGATGGATAGGACGAGTAGGGGAAGGCAGGCATGCAAGAAAGCCGGCGAGCCGAGTCACCCCGCTGGAGCCCTCGAAAAAGTAAGTGTGTGACAACGTCGTCCCCGAGATTTTCTTTCGTTGACGCTTTGACAGCTTGACGCGGCTACCATCCGCTTCGGAGCGTCGAATATGACAACGTGAGTTCAGTCCTCCTTTCGACTCTTCGTCCCGTATGCGTGACGTACAGACACCTAGCCAGACAGCTAGTCGTAGTCAACCGAACAGAACGCTGCCATTGTTCGACACTCGAGTTCGAGTCGCAGGGGTTTCACTCGAATCCTCTCAAACGTTGGAGGTATCCATCTTCTCGACTTCCCTCAGCCGAAAAAGGAGGACACAGTGTCTGATCCAGCACCGATCGTTCCAAGAGCCTCCGACACGATCGACCCGATTCCCTCTTCCTCGAATAGGATCATATCAATGTAAAGCTACCTACATTTTATTTGGTCATGATCAATCATTGAATCACCGGATTCGAGTTTGAACTCGCAAAATTCTGTATGGAGCGCAATGTTTTGCGTTGATCTCCGAGAGGTTTAGCCATGGGCGTGTGTTCCGTAATTTTTTTCTTGTCTTTCATTGAGGGCCTTATCAAAACGCGTTCGACTCCTGACTCCGCGCAAAGCTAGCCTCTGCTGTTTCTGATTTGACTGAATGCAGCTATCGTGATAGGGATAACAGGCAACTGAATCCAACGTGTCAACAAAACAAGACCGGCAACAAAGAATTAAAATCGAACAGAAGTCTCTTCCCCTGCAGTCATTCGTCACCGCGGGTCCTCATTCATCCACCGCTCCACAATTACGCTTCCATTCCCAGTAAGAGAGACAGCAGAGGTTCGCTTCCCGCTTCGGAATCTCCCTGATTTCTCAGTCAGCAGGAAAGGATTGCTTCAGTCGATTGTTAAGAAGAGTTCGGGGTGGTGAAGGCGACGACGACGACGAGATTAAAGTCGTTCGTCTCGTTGAGTGATTGAAGCGATCGTTTCAGTCACTTTCAATCGACTTTCCGACTTCACTCCCGCAAACGCGGGGATTTCGAAACGAACTTTGTTTTTTGGTGTCCTCATTCTTTTTTTCCTTCCATTCGTATCGGGGCATTTCCTTCGAATGGAATGGGATTCGTTCGAATGAAAAACCCGGGTCTGAATTAGAAAGTTTAAAAACGAACTACCTAGCTGTCGTTCTCACACTTGAATTTGGAAGCTCGATCCAAGGGTAGGTATCTCGAAGTGAGAAATTCGATTTTCCGAAGGAGAATGATCACGAGAGAGTGATGGCGTGTTGATGCCACAAGACTGCGCTCAGATGAAGAAGTTACAAGCCTACCACGCCCTCGCTGTTAGTCGAACTACTCGGCGGCGGCGGCGGCACGACGACGACGACCGAAGCCAGTGCCGAGAAGAATCGCGAGTTCATTCGTCCGTATCGTCTGTCATCTCTTTGAATGAATCTCAAAAACTCCTCTCTCTCTCTCTGGTTCGATGTTTGAATCGGGAATCAGAATTCTGTATCAGATCTTTTGTTCGAAATCAGAACTCTATTTTCGTTGAAGACAAAAGAATTCATTACTCGATTTGAACCTCATTCGACTGAAAACGTTCTGCTTGTTCTTCTCTGTTCGGTCGAGATTCGACTTCCTTTCTGTGCCCCGGAGAACTTATTTTGAGAATTTTCTCCCATTGAACGACATGTTTCATCCATGCACACCGAGAGAGTTTCAGAAATTTACGAGGGAGAAGCCACACCGAGAGAACGAGAGGGAACTATCCCGAGCGTTTCTTTGCGAAATCGAGGTGCTCATGTCAAATTTCATCCGAGGGAATCGAAGGCAATGCGCTCTGGAAAAGCTGGAAATCGAGTACTCACTTCCTGCGGAGGAACGTCAAATGACACGGTACGAAGATCCACCTTACAGTAGGTGTCGATGCACGGTATTATGAAGAAGATACCTGGAAGGTGTCGCGGACACATTTGAGACAGCCGCTCAGAGCGATTTGATAATCCGGGAAACTCTATTGGAGCTAGCGTCGAATTCCGCAAGGGCGACCGAGTCACTCACCTGGACCTTTGGCACCTCCTCGTAGCAATCGACCCAATCTGAATATGACTGCTCTCTCGTATTCTTGAACAACCTGTAATTTTCAAGGAAGTTAGGATCCGGATCACGATTAACCCGTGCCTGCCCGAACTTCCCCCCCCCCCGTTCTCATGGATTGAGACTGTCCAAAGCGGAGAGAGCCTCCGTGTTCCACTGAGCTCAATGGGGCTCAGGAGAAAGGAGGGAATCCGGGAGAACGACCTCCGGTCTGCTTACGCTGTTTCCACCGCATCTGCTTTTGCTGTCCGCCAGCGAGCGAGGAAAGGCAAGCAACCAGATCGTTATGTTATACAATTTCCTGGGAAGCCACCCGCATCTGCCTGTGAGTGCGCGATATCTATCCCAGTAGAAATTGAGAGGAAATCGCCGGGCCGATTGAGATTCGCCCGGGCTAGATTTCTTTCCCTCCACGGCACTGGGCTTTTTGTCCCCCGGCAGCGGGCAAAGCTGGCGCATCAAACTGACGACGGCGCGGCGGCGAGCGAGCTGCAGTCGCGGTTACACAAACTAACTCGACAACGAGCTGCATCCACCGACGACAACAACGACAGGGGAGATGCCGGCGACGATCTACGAACAACGAGGGATTTCGCGGGAGCAGCATCATCCGATCGGTGTAATGCAATCCGTCTTTCCCTCTCTCCCTCTTCCGTTCCATTGTGGCTAAATAGCGGTGGCACGCACATGCGAAGCGTTTATTCAAATTCAACCGGGCGGCTCATAATTTTTGTGCGTTCGCGGAGCTCCGGTCGCGCCGTCTCGCCGCTATCACGGCTCGTTTTCTACGGCTCACTCTCCGAACCCATACGGGTCGGTCGGTCGCTGGCTGGCCGGCCGGCTGGCTGGCTCGCTTGCAAGAAGGGACTTGCTCATCCCTTTCAAACCGTAACTCACCCTTCATTCATTCATTAAGTGAGGATGAATAAACGGATTCGGGGGTAGGGGGTTGCGCCCGTTTATGCGGTCCCTGAACGCTAGTCACACACAAGCCACTCATTAATCCTCATCAATTACCTATCTGCCCATCAATCTGGCAGGCGGACGAGTGAACGAGCCAAGTCGGTCGAGAGGGAGCCACGTGCCCGCGCAATTCTCCATCCGCACCCGACCAGCAATCATGGTGGCGAAACTCTTTCAAAAATGAACGAATTCAACGGCGTCAGCGGAAAGCGATAATTAAAGACGGAGCATCTCAACCTCGTTTCCCTTCGACGCAATAATGGACGGGGTTGTGGCGCCTCGCGCAAATAAATACGGGGCGGAGAGAGGAACATCTTCCCAGCGCGGATTTCGCTCCGCGACCCGTGTACATATGCTCCTGTTGCCGAACCCTCAGATATTCATCGGCACGCGCTCCAGTTTCCAAGTGGAAACCCGACGCAACCTTCGGTCAAGCGGTCGGAATCACGAAGGTGCGCGAGCACTGCCATGTCTTTGCATTAGGACTCTGTCTTGCTCTTTCAGAGATCTCGGCCGCTCATCGTTTCGCTCTTGACATCTCCAGCCGGGACGCCTGCTTTGGCGACGAAGGTTTGCCGATGTCGTCGTGCATATACACACGATCGGAGTAGCCGAAAAAACGACCGTGGCAATGAAGTCTACGTCAAATTGATATGGAATCGCTGTGGAAACTTTTCAGCAAGAGTCGCTCCTGCCGCCGCCCCGCCGCCGCTCCGAAGTTCCGCGAGCGTCGAAGAAACGGGTACGCGGGTGAGCAAGTGCGCTGCGGGGTATATTTGCCGTTGACGGATTGGGCCTTGTTCAACTTTCTTCGCCGTAATGAGTTCGCTCCCTCGCGTTCGTCTTCTGTTTTCGCTCCTCATTGTTGTTTCGCGAAACAGCCTCCCTTCCCTCCTCTCCTCCCGCCCCGACCCTGAGCGGCACGATAATCCATCTACCTTCATATTCATCAATCAATCAATTTATCTGCTCAAGCTGGAGCTATTCCGCGGTCCGTCTGTCTGCTCATTCGAGCGACCGACGCCGACGGTCGGACGAGCCCCCAACGAGGGAGCGAGCGAAAATGAGAACGAAGGGAAGAATATGAAGGAAAGCAGAGCTCTCAACGTCTTGCTTCGGAGAATCTCTTGAGCCGAGCCCCGGAAATAAAAAGCAGCTCAGCGGAGATCCCTCTGTTTTAAACGCTGGTGCTCTCCGAGAACTACGCTGGAGGAGGTCGGCAGAAAAGGAGTCAGAGAGGATCTTCACAGACATTCCGAGCCTAAAGTCGACTTTTAGTAGTCTCTGAGCGACGATGATCACAGTGATGATGAAGATGATGAGGAAATAGACATTAGAAGGAGCTCTGCCTTGCTTATGGCTCGAACGACGCCGGCTCCGAGGAAGACAGTGTCATTATGACTCCTTTCCTCCCTGTTCCCGTCCGTCGTTCTCGGCTCTCTCGCCAATGATAGCCCTTCCGCGCGAACCTCTCCCCGTGCGCATCTAGACTCCCTCACATGGTCATATACGCGAGTCGTGTATGAATAAACGAGCCACTCGCACCTAAAAGGCTTCCTTGAACTCGATATACCCGATATAATATATTCTCGCGATGTGCTCATGTACATACGCACGCTGATCCCGAACGGTTACGAGCGAAGCTCGACTAGCCCTGCCTCGCAGCGCCTCTGAGTGAGCCGGAGGCCGAGGAACTTAGTGAATTGCGCTACCTACGTACAAAGTCGTGCTATCTGATACTCACCTTTATGCAAAAAATAAGTGAAAAAGGGAATGTCATCATAATTATGAGGATCGAGATGGTTGTTAGGATGTAGGCACATATATCGGGACCCTCGGAAGCGGACGCTGGAAAGAAGGAAAAATGTTAGCCCGGGGTCTCTGGACGTTCGAGAGAGAAGTTTCCCGAGTATTAAACCGATGCCTTTTCTGAGGAACTTGAATAATCCAATGCAGACTCGGTGTTTCTCGATGCGAGGAGTAGCCTTTGCCGCGGTAGAATTCTCCCCGAAACACTTTCCGGCCTACGTACGAATACTTTGTCGAGGCAGATTTGGCCGGAAGACGAACTCACGCATCGACCCGAAGGCTGGTCGAGGGATGTCGGTGCTTGTACCGGCTTCCATTAGCGGCAGCTCTTCTCTAATTGTTTTGTCGCTGATGTCGACCGCAGGCAATCTACTTTCGTACGTTGACCATCTCCGGACATCCATCGTTCGTGTGAAGTCCAACTGTCGATCGTCCATGTTCATAACGAATGACAGCGTGGAAGAGGACCGTCGCTAGGGACGGAACTGTCCACAGAGAGTAATTTTGCCACCGAAAATCCAAACACTTTGATTGCGATCCGTGCGGTCGACCGAAACAGCAGATCGTTCAGCGGTCGATTCCGTCTCTTGATTGGGTCGCTCACGTGCACCGATCGAGTCCGATAATTTGCGGGACAGCTTCAATCACTTTTACCGAACACTGCAGCTCGCTCCATGCCGCCTCAACTCGCAGACGTCAAACACAGAAATTCATTCATGCAGCTCGACGGTCGAGCAGCGAGTCGTTACTTCGCTTAACGGCGAAACAATGACATCGACTCGCGTTCCGTTTAGGGAAGCATTCTGTCCGCAGTGAACAGGGAGAAGCGAGGGCTTGTTGCTTCTACTCACCTGGAGCAGCAGCGACAACAACAACAACGATTTCTATGAGCGGGAAGCTCGTTCACGACCGGAGTCACGATCCCATCCAGCTCCGGGGCAGGACTTTCACAAGAATCACATACAGCCCTGGGTCGAGATCGAGGATCGTGATTCGTGATTATTTGAGAACAGAAATCACACCTGAGCAACGTCGGACTCGCACTCGATCAAAGTCGAAGGATCGGCACGGTTCCAGTGCAGAGGTCAGAGACGCCTAATTCCGAGTCGCTGGACACTCGGGAGACACGGAACTACTCGACGAAATGACTCGCGAGGAGCTGCTCGGCTTCGTGATTGAATGGAGCTATCTATTAGGCTCGACAAGAAGGTCCGACGTGACATTTCGAGCCTGGGGTCGTTCATTTTCCCGACTTCTTCATATATTTTCCGGCCACGAACGGCCGCTAGGCTCAATATCGGTATCTGCGAGAGTTCCGCAAATTTTCTCTCAGGTCAAGCATGACAATCGATTCATAGACCCGTACGGTTTCCGTGTTCTGAATGCTGTACGTGCTCACGACGTACGTGAGGAATACCCATGGTCGGGGAATCGGCAGAGGTCCTTATGCTGTCCGCAAGACAGACCGGCCGCGCACGATTGGGAACGCTTGCAAATTATCCATTACGGCTGTCACGTTTCCCGATTATAACGAATGAATTTAACGATAAGACGGTCGTTGCCCCAGACAGGCACCACGGGTTGGATGGCACACGCGAACGCCCAGGACACGTAAGATCTGATTGCGACCTGCTCCCCTGCTCTTTCGCTTTTCTGTCTTTTGCGTTGCAAGTTCACGGAAGCAGATGGCGGGACTCGGTGTCTGTTAGCCCTAGTGCGAAAGCTCATGCTCCGGCACCGATGGTCCGCGTAAGAGGAACAATTAATTGAATCTTCACTAAGTGCGTCACGGACGTGAGGCACGGGAATTCCCGACGTCGAGTCGCCATTGTTCGCTGGCCAGAGGAGCAACTTCGTCCGAGATTTCCCTGCCGCATCGAGAAAGAGGATACTCGAGTCGGAGCCTTGTTTTCCGAAGCGATTTCCGCTTCTCACCGAGCCTGGTCATCAAGCCTGGTCACCCTCGCCGTTCCCGGCAGAAGGCCGAACCGCCTCGTAGCCGATGCCAAGATGTTTGAAAACTTCGAACGAAACGGTTGATGGTCATCATGGCGATGAGGGAGCAAAGGAGTCTCGTGGAGAACTTCGAATTCGCGGGCGTGAAATCCCTCTTTTATGGGACTTTTTTCACTGCTATACTCTTTTTGGCAGAGCGACATTTACGAAACGGCACCCAACAGCAGTGGCCGCAGCAGGATCGCACTCGGTGAGCATTATATCGTTCCGGGTGAAAGTGGACGGCCTGTAGACGTTTTTTTCGCTTGCACACAGAGATGGGCTTCCATCCAAGTTGAGCCGGAATATCAGAAAAGCCAACGAGATCATCCGCGGTCAACCTGCTGAATACGCATCCCCTTGAATTCCTTTGCGTTTCTCGTCGCATCAGGAGGAACCTCAGCGAATTGAAGGAAGGTTAGAGGCAGGAACGTCGACGCTGCTCTCGTCATCGTCAGCGGTTGCATCGTTCAAACTCCCGTTCAGCCAATCGAAGCTCTCCGAGCCCGAATTTGCCGAGCTCCCGGAATTTCCCACCACGCAAGCATGGGGATGGCGGTGCCGCTCGGGAGAATCGATTCTTTAGCGCCACATCAGCAAGCTGTCGTTGCTTGTTTGCTCGCAGGTATCATGGTCGCTGCTACCTACCACCACTAACAGCGCGGCGGATGCCGCCGCACGGCCAGCTCGGACGCGCTCCATAGTTGCCCGGGGCGTCCATTTAGGAGTCGGATGTCATTGCCTGTCTAGCTCCCAGACAAGCTATGCCCCGATAGCTCCCCAACTGACTGCTCGTAGTTCGCTTCTGCCGATAGGAGGGACAGTCTGCGTTGCGCCGACCCATTCACCCCCACATGCGTCGGGAGCTTTGTTCCCGGAGTCCCCGGTATTTTGCGTTCCCCTCTGGCTTAGCTCAAGATCTATTCCCGAGCGCCGAGCACACAAGACGGTGGTTTCGAACATGACGACCCGTGGTTCCTTTCGAGCACAATTAAGATCATTTTTCATCCATTGTTGGTTCGTAGACCGCTACCTCCTCCCCCGCCCCCTTCCTCTCAACGGTGGATTTGGTGACCGGTGGGTCGGTCGGACAGGGACTCAGTAGCCCGACGCTCACTCAACTAGTCAGTCAGCGAGTCTTGCCTTACACCGCGTCCTGACCCTTCTCCTCCTGGCTGGCGGCATTCTTTCCCCTGATTCGAAATCACTAAGGCAACGAGCACATAGCTGGGCACACGCACCGTCGAACTTATTTATGCGTATGTCCGTCTGTTTGGATGATTTCATCCGCACGGATGTGTACTCTGAATGACGGAGGGAACGCTACATTTGCGGAGGAACTGGTTCTCAGCCCGTCCGGATAATCGTGTGTTGCACACCTCGATAGGAATCGCGTAATTTTAGGCTGCGCCGGAGCGATCGTTTTTTGGCCGGCTCCTATACTCTTCCTCTGTCTGATCTCGATGCTGGCATTCGATTTAAGAACGATTTTTTCTTCGTTCGGAGTCCTCGTTGGATGAAACCTCCGCGGTGTGAACTCGTCTGGGGTCAGGTATCAGAGCCCCGTATCAGAGTGATCGGCTGTTTGCGGAACACTGCCCTCAGAATGATTGGAGCGCGTGACACGCACGGATCGACAAGCAAACTCAGCAAACCTCTCAAATCGGTCGTAGTGCTGGTTCGAGGGGTTTGTGAAAACCAACAGCCACAGACGCTGGAGTTTGAGTGCCTGAGGAGCGGAAAGCATCACCACATGCTCCATACACTCATTCCTTCCTTCCTCCATTGATGTGGTCGTAGGGTACGGTAGCGCTAAAATAACGTCCCGCCCCGGCGTTTTTGTCATCATTTCTCTTCAAAGAGCTCCGGGCGCGTTGCCTCACAAAATCCGGCCGGCTGCGAGAATCGAGCTAGCGTGCGGATGGAGGAAAAGGAAGAACGACAAATTCGGTGCCACCAATGTGATGGGGAACCTTCGATATCGCCCCCAGTGGCCAAAATATCGCAGGAGCCATCCCGAGAGGAATATCCGGAAATGCCTACACAGTCCTCGGACGGGCTGAGCGAAGAATATACCGCGCCAACCGCAAGTTGAACGATTCCGTTCCGCACCCTGAAGAGGAGGAAGTTTCAATTCCATGGAAGTGCCCTTTGCGAAAATTAAAACGGGGTTGCGATTCTGGGCACTAGGTCGAGTAGTTTCGCCTCTCGTAACGGCAGAAGATTGAAGACGGTTCTCAGAATTTTGTCTCCAAACCTTTGAAACTCAAGCTCACGGTTCAGGTCAAGTCTATCCCGCGTAAATTCGACAAAGAAGAGGCGCAACCAGGGGGGGAAAGCGTTTCCTGGAGGAAAAAATGACCAACGAATTCTCCGACCCACGGAGGGACTTGTCCCCGGGATTGAACCTTTTCTCGGCAGCAGTCTTCTCAATATAGATAAGTCATTCCTCAAGCGATCCAATCGTCCAGCTGCGCAAAGCGTTCTTCATCGAGACTCAAGGTCGGTTGTCACAGTTTCTCGCTGCTTGTTTGCGAAAAAGCGGCGCCGGCACAGGTATCTCGTTCCTTTCGGAGCAAGAGATTGGATTTCTAAGAAATGATGTAATTGCAAATTCTGCTCCCTGCCATCGCCGCTGCCGCTTCGCCGTTCTTCCCGTTCTCCGAAAGCAACAAGATCTTTTGGTGGCTCCTGCTGGCGGCAGAGCTCACTCCTCCCTCTGGCCCCCCCCCCCCCCTTACCCCCATTGTCTCTGTAACTGCCGGTGCTCTTGTCGCTGGTACTAGCGGGGCATTCTCGGGTGCTGAACAACGCACTAATTCCACGTGGTGGAGGAGAGAGAACAAATCCCGTTTTGCGCGCATTCAACATCAGCAGCATAATTACATCGGAGGCGTATGATGGGCGAACAAAAGAAGTGAAGGCTCCGCGAAACGGTAGGAAGAGCTTCGACGACCATGAGAAAGCACTCCATCAATGGACTGGTACACGCAAACTTAGCTGCACAGCGGTAGGAACCTTGAAGTGCTTAGTAAAATCGAGCGAATCAACGAGTGAGCGATGAGAAAAAGAGCGGTCATCTCAAACTCGGAAACGAGCGAAAACTTTCCCAGCGGAACCGGAGCCCTGAATACGGAGCTCATGGCCCTATTCTCGAATGTATTCATATATCGTCCGTGCCAATTCCATCGAGCACCGCGCCGTTTGCCCTCCGCGGAAATTTTCGCTGGGAATCGACTGAGCGACCGAGCGCCCGAAACTCCTCTCGGTTCTGACTCAAAAGAATCAGTCGTTCAGCTCACCAAAGAGAATTGGAAATTCCTATCCGCTGGCGAGATCATCATATTGTCAGCAGCCGAACTCGCATCATACCCCCGAAGAATATAAATTCGAGCTTTCATGTCGCGCCGGATGCGGTATGAGAATACGTCCATCTGTCTGT